GAGGGGGTGGCCTGAGGCTCCCTCTGAATCCTAGGCAGGGGAGGGAAGGGAAGGTAGTCTGGAACCTTCCAAACTCCTTAGTAATAGATTTTCAGCAGTGGCATTCTTATTCAGGAAACCATCACAATATACAAGGCACAGATGGAGGAAACGACTCCCCCTGAGCAGGAGCAGAAACCCAGAGCCTTCCTTTCTCCTGCCTCATAGCAGGTTCCTCAGGAAAGGCTAACCACTGGCTAAATAAAAATTTATGTAAAATCACAAGGGAACTCAACATATTCAGTCTCCTTTTGGGACCTTTGGGGGGCTCCAGGAACCTGGGAGACACCTGGAGGTCCATCAGACTTTAACCTGACCTGGTAGTGCATCTGCTCCTCACCAGTCAAGCCTCAGAGTCTCAAGGGCCAGAAATGGGCTGGAGTGAGTAGGTCTGAACCCACCAAGATGGACAGGTACTTTCATGAGCTGTTTCTAGGCTGGTGAGGCCCCCGCCCAGAAAGAGCTCGGAACTGAGGAGTCGCACCTTCCCACTAACTTCCACCTCTCCTTCCACCCCTTTTCCAGACAGGCCTCCCTCTCCCACGACTCAGAGCCAGATTCAGGTTCTCAGCAGGCCTCCCTATGGCCTATCTTTTTCTGTTGTTTAGGGGTTTTTTGCTTGAGATAGGATCTCATATAACCCATGCTGGCCTTGAACCAGGAAAAGCTGAAATCCTGATCCTCTTGCCTCCAACTTGCAAGCATGGAGATTACAAATGTACATCTTCACATGGTTTTATGTGGTGCTGGGGACTGAACTCAGGACCTGGTGCATGCTAGGCAAGCATTCTATCAACTGAGCTACATCTCTAGTTCCAAGTTTTGTTTGGTTGATGTTTGTTTTTTTGTTGTTGTTGTTGGGTTTTTGTTTTTGAACTCCTGATCCTCCTGCCTCTACCTCCCAAGTGCTGTGATTTTTATAGATGTGAACCAAGGAAACAGATGAAGTGTTGGGCAAATGACTTTGCTCTAAGCTTGGTAGTTTGGTCCTCCCAGTGAGGATGAAATGTACTGACGTGTGTTAAAGCCCAGCCCCACAGCAGCTCAAGTTAGAAGCAGATCAGTACTAGAGAAAGGGTATGGCTTTGTCCATTATGTGATGTGTCAAAAGCAGGTGACACATTTTGCCTCTGAGCTCCACTTTTCTCATATATAAAAGGGGCATGTTAAAAAAAAAAACACTGTGGCCAACAAGAAGGCTCAGCAGGTTAAGACTTGCTGACAAGCAGGATGACCTGAGTTCAATCTCTAGGACCCCACATGGTAGAAAGAGAAAACCAACTCTTGAGAGTTATCCTCTGACTACCTACCACATATATGCTGTGTCACACACACATGCCCCCCATAAATAAATAAATGCAAAAATTTCAAAATATTTATTATTTTTATTTTATGTGTATGAATGTATTGCTTGCACGCATGTAAATGCACCTGTGTCGCGCAATGCCTGAGGAGGTCAGAAGAGGGTGTCAGATCCCCTGGAACTGAAGTTATGGAGAGGTGGGGCTACAGAGATGGCTCAGCTGTTAAGAGCACTGTCAGCTCTTGACCAGGTTGGGTTTCAACCCACACCCACATGGCAGCTGACAACTGTCTGAAACTCCACTTCCAGAGGATTGGGTGCCCTTTTCTAGCCTCTGTGGGCACCAGGCCAAGACACGCAGGCAAGACACCACGAATACACAGAAAACAAAAATTTAAAACTATTTTCTTAAAAGTGCCTGGCAAACATTAAGTGCTACAACAAAGATTAAGGAGGAGGTGCCGCTGGGGTGATGCACCCCCTTAATCCCAGCGCTCTGGAGGCAGAGGTAGGGGGGATCTCTGTGAGATGGAGGCCAGTCTGGTTTACATAATGAGTTCCAGGCCAGCTGTGGCTACAGGGAGACCCTGTCTTAAAAAGGAGAGAGAGAGAGAGAGAGAGAGAGAGAGAGAGAGAGAGAGAGAGAGAAGGTAGGCCTGTGAAATCCTTTGGCCCTCCATAAGAATTCCACAACCCAACAGAACCATCATTCTTAACTGATGATTTAGTCACTCTGAAGCTGGGTGACCTTAGACAAGTTACCTACCCCTTCTGAACCTGCCTTTATTAATCTACAAAATGTATTTTTTTAAAACATATATTACCTCTAGGTTGTTAGGCTGCATTATTAAGCGATGAGCCCTGGGAAGCTTGTAGATCCTTGTTAATTAGATCCTAGTTGCAAAGCTCTGCCTCCGAGCACCTTCCCGCCCCACCCGACGCTCCCAGTCCCTCCTGCTGCGCGCCAGGGGGCTGTGGCCTTGCCCGCAGCCAGGCCCTATTTCTGGGGACCTAGCGATCCCTAAGCTTTGCCAAGCTTCCCCGGGGATCGGGTTTCTGCTGACGCGGTGCCAGGCACGTCTGCTTCCAGGAACCGGCAGCCACATTTAGCCGCGGGCCGCACATGAAAGGCTCTAGTCGGAAACGTGACGTTGTGTCAACAGGCGCGGCAGGTCAGCGCTGGGTGAGACCATCCGGGCAGGCCCGCCGAGCACGCCCTGTCTGAGAGCCGCCAGCTCCCAGGCTGCTCCGCCGCCACCTCTCCCTAGCCCCCAAAGTCCGTGCTTCCCCCACTCGACTCACCCCCGCCCCAACAGAGGTCCTCTGTGTCCCCAGCTAGGCTGCAGGCTGGGATGCGCGCCCTCCCCACTCCACACCTTCCCGAGGACCCCCACATCCTTTGCTGAACCGGCTTCGCAAAGTCAAGGGGACTCTGGAAGCAGAAAAGCAGAGACAGCCGCGTCTTTGGGGGCCTTCTTCACCAGGCGGACTCTAGCAGTGACATTCAAGGTTGACTGCGTAAGGATCCCTCAAATCTATTCTTAGTTCAGGGTGCTCCAACCACTTCCTTCTGTCCCCACAACTGAAAGAGAGGACATGCAAAAAGGACTTGATGTCCAACCCTTGGGATTTAGTCTCAGGAAGAAACACGGCTTGTATGGGCTTTAACTGAAAGTCTCGCTAGGAAGATCTGGCGACTTATGGGAAAATTCAGAAGCTTAGCAGGCAGGAGAGTTGCAAGGGCAGACTCCCAAGAACTGGGGACCGAAGGACTCACAGAACCTGCCATCTGTGCTGCAGGACAAGGGGGGGCGGCATTTATAGTGTCTCGTGTGGCTTGGAGACAATTGTGCGTTTTCATCCAGCATAGGGCACGTGAATACTTTTCATCCACAGCCCCACAGGAGACAGAAGGTGACATTTGAACAGTTCTAATGGGCAGGTTTTCAGCCTGGCTGAGTATTCCCTGGGGTGGGCTTCCCTTCAGGAGACTCCAGGCAGCTAAAAGGTTCTAGAAGATGCAGATGTCAGTGCCTAGAGCATGTCCAGGCCCAAGGACTGTCCTCAGGAAACTTCAGGACAAACCAAGATGAGGGGGGGAAGCAAAACTACTTAACTGGATAATTTCCCATGTCTTTTCCCATGGAATTATTATTTTAATCAGAACACTAATATTCATTCACACACACACACACACCCAAGGAGAGGAAGTTCAGGAAGGATGTAGAAAATAATTATGGAATGTTGCCTTCAGCAGCACTAATGCAGAGTATGGCAAACCCATTAGAACTTGCTAGATTTGAAAGAACTGGCCTGCCTTGGCAAAGAGGGGCTATCTCCAGCCTCAATTATTACTGCATAGTAATCCATTAAATCTTTTCTCAATGTGCCTAGCCCTACATAGCAACCTCCAGGGACACTCCAGTCTACCCAGCTAGCACATACCTTGGGTTTTCCTGTCAAGTTCTGAGACTTTGACTAATGCATCATGGGGTGTGGGAGATGAGGTGAGAGGTGTGGGGGGATGTTGTAGCTTACCTCTGGAAAGAGACAGAGTAACTGCAGATCCCTCACAAGAATTCATTAAAAAATAATGACTAGGGCTGTGGCTCAGCTGGTAGAATGGTTGCCTAAGATTCATGAGTTCGAGCCTCAGCACAGCACCGCATAAAACCGGGTGTGGTAAGGCACGCCTGTACTGCTCCAAAAGCCTGGCTGTAATCCCAGCACTTGGGAGGTGGAGACTGGAGGATCCCATCTATTCCAGGTCAGTCTTGGTTACAGAGCAAGTTTGGTGCCGGCCTGGCCTACAGGAGACCCTGTCTCAAAAAATAAATAAAAATAAAAATAAAAAATAAAGAAAAAAAGAATTCAGTGTTCACTGCATTGACTCAGTCTAGTCTTACTGAATACCAGGGACATGAAAAGCTGAATGAAATTATACTAAGATTAGCTAGTTGTCTTTAGCCATGAAGATGCGGGAAATCGCTACATCACACAGGTAAGTTCTTTTTAAAAAACTCAGGAGACCATTTCTTTTCCACAGGAAAAGGATTATTTTATTAAGTATTTTAAAACAACTACTTAACATTTACTTAGATAAAAATATTTATTTTTTTTTAAACACTGTACCTCTCCTCTCCCTTCTCTTCAAAAACAGGAATACATTCATTTTTCTCACTTTGTAGATCAAGTAATTATACAAATAAACATCTGAAACATTTTCTTTTGTCATATATTTATATAATATATATTTATAACAGCTTTACAAATAAAGGCAACAAATTTATATCAAAATAAAAACGGGAAAAGAAGTTGAAACACAATCAAGCATAGTGCATTTTGAAAAGCTGGTGCGGAGCTGGCAAGTCAAGGAAACAAGGGTTCTAGATCAAAAATAAAACTTCCTTAAGGGAGGCAGAATCCTTTTTAGCATTAAGGACACTCCATATGCTGCCGAGCAAGAGGAAATTAGCCTACAGAAAGGATCTTGGGGTGCCAAGGCTCGGCTAGGCCTTTGGGAAGCTAAGCTCGGTTCAAAGCTTTAGGATAGAGTTGAAAGCCGAGGCTACTGTGCAATAAAGGTAGCAACTGCTTACTTAGCTTTGTGCACTCTGGGGCATCTGCCATCTCTGAGACCCTCTTTTGGTTCCCTGGACAGCATGTCAAAAAAGTGAAACTTAGAAGCAGGTGCCAGAGGCCTGGGAAGTCCACCACAGTTCTGGGCAGCTCAGCTTGTACAAAGGGGCTATTTTCAGTTCCTTAGTAAGCTAGTCACCAAGAAAGCCTGAGTTAGGGAACTACATTGTCTTTATTCATCCCAGGCAGGGGTGGGGAGCAGACCTGCGGAAATCTGCCCAACCACAACCGTGACATGCCAGTGTCAGCTACCTCACCACTTGAGCAGAAAAGCTCAGTCTGACCATTCAGTCCTCCTTAGCTGGTGTGAGTCACCTCTACAATAAAAGGGAGAAGGGTGGGGTCCTAACAGCTGGCTGGGAGCTGTGCTCTGGGAAGTCCTCTTTTGAAAGTACCTTTTTCTCAAAGCCACAGACAGACCTAGCTCCCAAACTGCAGAGTGACTCACAGATCAAGCCTTTGAAGCTTATGAAAATCCAACTGATTGGTATCAAAAGGGACTCTTCTCCAGGTAGGGAAAAGCCCCGAAGTCTGCTACAGTACCCCTCTCCGTCTCCTGATGTCAAGTCATCCTGTGCCAGGAGCTTTAATGTCCTATAGACACATGCACACACACTCACAAGCACACTTGTTCACACGCACATCCTGAATGCTCTCCGAGTCTTGTATCATCTCAGTCCGCACCATGGACTGCATTCACAGAAACATTTGCTTGTGTGTGTTTTTGGAAGTAGGGAGGAAGGAAAGCGAAGCAGCAGGAGATTCCCCCTAAGAGTTTAGTCTTTGGTTTCTAAGTTTAAAGGAGGGATCTGCTTCAGAGCCTGGAGCAAAGTGGAAGAGTCGAGGGATGGATGTGCCAAGGGAGAAGGGAGTCTCTGGGGCAGGAGCAAGGGAGTTGGGATCTTGTCTGGGTTCATGAAGCTGGAGAGGGCTGCAGCAGAGGCGTTGAGGCCAGGGTATAACACCGGCACTGAGGTGGGATACCAACATTTCTCCAGCATGGGCAGGTAGGCAGTCGCTGATGGTGGGATGAGATAGAAGGGCAGGCAAAAGGGAGGCTGATGAGGGTGTGGGCCCAGAAACGGGGAGCTGATCAGATCATTGCCAGTGAAATGGCCTTCATCATCCGAGAGCTGCATTCGGCTCTTTTTGGTGGGGGGTTCTTCGGACTCTTGCTTGATTGTGCTGACACGTTCTCCCATGGTGAACCTGCGTCCATGATCACTTTTAAAGTAAGGCTGCTCACTGCGCAAGTCACCCTTCTCGGACTCTCCTCCATAGCCGCTGTCTGTGTCCGTGTCACTGCCGCTCTGCTCCCCACTTGAGGGAGCAAAAGTCCGCTGGATGACTGGCACACAGTTTTTCCCAGGGGCTTCTGAGCCTTTGGCTAGGGAGCTGGGCTTTTCTTTGAAGTCCATCCCTTTGGGAATGGAGTCCGATGATTTCCTGGAAGTGCCACCCTGCAGCAGCTCTGAGACCACACGGTGGAGGTGTGTGACAAGCTGTGAGGTCTTCAGGTCCCGAGTGTTTTCATGCTTGGCCAGGTACTGAAGCACCTCCCGGGCACAAGTCTGGAAACCTGAGCAGAACATCTCTTGACCAGCTTCAATATTTCTTCCCGATAGCTCACCTGGAAGAACAGACCCAGAGAGAAAGAGGTTTCAGAAGGCTGCATGGTGCACTGAGGTTTTCTTTTTGTTTAAAAAAAAATGGTCAATTTTCATTTCAAATCCCAAAAGTAGTATGCTCAAAGAATTACACGGAGAATTATACAGAATGAAATAAACACTTAGAGATACATTAGGGGCTTGAACATGGGACCTCACATGTGTTAAGCACATGTAATCACTGAGCTACACTACTGCCCCCAAATAGGATTTTTAATGTCTGTATGGTATCCCACCAGAGACTGACCCACCTTTGTAGAGACTGGCTATTCCCATTCTTGCTGAGTTTGTAGATTATCTCTGTATTTGTGTGTGTGACACACCAATAAATATGCTGCTGTGTTCCTAAGTCCAACAGTTTTTTTTTTTTTTAAATGAGGCAGGGTCTCATTTTAGCTCAGGCTGACCCTGAACTTGACCTCATGGTGATTCTTTCTCAGTCTCTCAAGTACTGGGACTGCAAGTGTGAAGCACCACACCCATCCCAACAGTCACTTTGTATAACATCAGTCTCAGGATGCACAAGACCAGACAGTCATAAAATGAAATATATCACCTAAAGTAATATTTTCTTTTTCTTTTCTTCCCAAGGATAGAATCTCACTATGTAGACCTGGATGATCTGGACTTCACTAGGAGGAACAGACTGGCCTTGAACTTATAGTGACCCTCCTGCCTCCTTTTTGTTGGGATTACAGATGTGTACAACCACGCCCATAAAAGTTTCAGTTTATACATGTAACCCCAACACTTGGGAGGCTGGGGTTGGAGGACTGCTTGTGAATTTTAGGAAAGCCAGGGCTAACAAACTGACACCTTGTCACACACACAAAATCACACACACAAAATTCCCAACCTATTAATAACAGTCTCAGTCCCCTGTGAACATTAAGCTTTTGTCTTCCCATATATTAGATCTAGGAGTCTCCTAGAAATTAGTTCTGATCACTTTCTATTTTTAGAGAAGAAACAGGCAGACACATTGGCTAGATTTTCATGCCAGCCTTGAAAAGGACAGAGAAGAATTTGTGAAGGGGTGCAAGGAAGAATTCCCTCTGGTCTGTACTGTATGCTTTGGAAGAGGTGAGACTGTAAGGGTAGAAGGTGACTCTGATTCTCTGGAAGCCAGGAGAAACGAATGATGAAACAGTGGTTTCGTTAGATTGTGCAATTCGCCAAGATACCCAGTGGCTATTCAGGGAACCACAATGAAATGCAGGAAAAACCTCCTGCTGTCATCCTGCCAGGACTGCACCCCACACTGAAGGTTAGGGAAGCAAAGAAACAGGAAAATACTGGCGCATACCCATGACCTCTTCACCAATGAGTGAAGGCTCAGAAGACCAACTGGAAAACACCCACAATGCAAATCAGAGGTGTCTTGGAATTTTCAAGGGGAGAGGGGCAGTCTCCCAGAATCTAGGCACTCTCAAGCCCAAATGCCACAGGAACATTTCATCACTTGACTAATATGTATTCACACCAGGTGGCACACGGCAGCATTCCGAATGGAAAGTATGACCTTTTAGGAAAATAAAAATGTGTCTCCCTCAGTGCTTGTGCCAAAGGTGGCAGGAAAGTGCAAAGCCATCATGAGCCCTGGACTGTATGTGTGCCCGGTTCTTGGGAGATGTTACTCAGACCCCACATTTACCTGCTTGCAAACCGCTCTGCAGGGCCATGATTTTCTGCTGCTGCTGGTCGATAAGGTTTGTCAGTGCCTTCACATGCTTCAAGGTAAGCTCTAGAACCACTGCTTTTTCCAAGTGACCCAAAGTCTGGAAGAAAAAGAGCTTCCATCAGCGGTGAGGTCAGAACAAAAAATTGTGTCTAAACAATAAAGAAAAGGAATATTTTGCCTTTCCTGGGTGACTAAAGTTTATAGATGTTGTAACATAAACATAAAGATGTTCAAAGGGTTTAAAAAAAAAAAAACACGTGTCATCTATCTTTGGAGGCATGTTGGAAGCCATTGCAGGCTCTGACAGATATATTTTTCCAGCAGGCACTGGCTGCTGCTGACCTTAACTCAGGGGAATCCGGAGATAACATTTCTGTTCTGTGGTGTCAACGCAGGGAGGGACGTCTACTGTGTCTGACAACCAAGAGGCTTTCCCTAGCGTTTTTCCCCCCCACACCCTTGAAGAACCTGCAGTTCATGTAGGTTTTCTGTCTCCTTTCCAAATTCTATTTCCCTAAGGAAAAGAATTATGAAAAGATATGAAAAAAAAATCAAATATCAAAATAGGTCCTCTTATGGAAAGAGGGGAGGAAGGGAGGGAGGGAAAGGTAAGATGAGAAATGGAGAAGGGTTTAAAATCTTTGCATGGTGTGGTTTGCGCCTGTAACTTCGAAAAACTACAGGACCCTGAAAAATCATCAAAATGGAAAGTCTTAAACTCCCGTAAAAGGAGGCAGCGTGTCTCAATTCATTTGCATGGAACTGCCTGAAAATCCTGAGGCTGGGCCCCCTCCAACGCGGGGCCACTCGCAAGCCCTGACCTGCCCGTCTAGCCTGCAGTTCCTCGAGACGCCTGCAGGCGGCGAGTGACCCCAGCCCGCCCTCTAGGTAGAAGAGCTGGGTTGGAGCGCCGCCAACTTCTCACTTACTGTAAGTTTGAGATGTTCGGGTAGGAGATCCTTCAGCTGGGCGATGCACTCGTTAATCCGGTCACGTCTCTTTTTTTCGATGAGCCGGTGCGGCAATTTGTAGGTCTCCTGCAAGGCGCACAGGGAGGCGATGGGTTCCTGGGGAAGGGAACGCGAAGCCTCCCTTCCTCCCAGCCCCGCGGCAGAAAAAAGTCTGGCAAGGGAGTCGAGACGCACCCAGAACCACCTTCTCTGCCTCTTCTTTTCCAAGTCATTAAGTTGTGGCACTGAACTCGCCACATCTTGACTCTCCCTCACCCACCCCCACCAGCAACCTCACAGCAAGCAAACTTTTTTTTTTTTTTTTGAAACAGCACAAGCGAGGGGCTGTGTCGCGGGGGTCCCCGGGGAGGCACTAACCTTGCTGTCTTCGCTCCGTTTGATTCCCCGTCTGGACTTATACACTTGGTACATGTGGGCAAAATCCATCCTGCAGGGAAAAGGGACAAAAAGGACCGTGACTCACAGTGCGCACTGGCTGCAGGCGCCCGGCTGGGGAAAAAGCCCCGATGATGCGCCCGGAGGTGCTTCGAGTTGAGAAGGGCACGGAACCCCAGGCTGGCAGCGGAGACTGGAAGGGGGCCACGGTGCCAACTTACCCTGACAGGTCTGCGTGCTCTAGTCCTGGCGCTTTGGGCAGGCAGGCAGGAGGTGGTTGCGCGCTGGGGATCCGCTCCATGGCGCGGCGAGCCGGGGCCACGGCGCGCTCCTGTGTGCACTTAGCGGAGAGTCTGGGTGAGGACTGTCCTGGAAGAGGGGGGACTCCACGGATGTTTCTCTGAACAAACCTGAGGTCCCCTGAAATGCGCTGGGCGACCGGGAGCTGGGCTTTGAGGCGTCGCTTCAATGAGGGGCGTGCATGGCCCAGTGTCCCCGCGGCCTGTGGCTCCCGCTCTGCGCACAGACTGGCGGTGTGTGCTCGCTGCGCTGTCTGCGCCGTGCGAGCCAAGTGAATGAGAAGTGGGGCGGGCGGGGAGGCGGGAGAGAAAGGGGGGTTGGTTAGGGCGGA